GAATTCATTAAAATCATCAGCACAAGGTGCCTTTTCGTCATTTCCTTGCTGTTTTCTTAATATTTTTCTCCTCGTGATAATTCTGCAGTTAACATTTGGCAAGGTGGCTTTCAATTGTTTCTCAAGCTCATCAGGTTCATCTATCTCATCAACATCTTTTCAAAATTTGCGTAAATTTTCCTGAAGGGAATTGTAAAGTGTAGTACTCAATAACACATCTGATTTCTGAATGATTGTGTTGGCTTTTGTTAATATGGCCTAGCACACAGCCCCCCAAAATACAGCATAAATACAAATTCTAGTTCTTCCATTTTCTGCAAAAGACTATTAGCATAAAACCTGGTGGTCCCCTTTATATCAGATTTTACAAGTAACCGATGGCATCAATGATTGTTCTGTAATTTCCCAAAGTAATTTCTATGGAATTTTCGTGTGTCTCACACGTAGTGTCTGACAAATATTTAGGCATTTTTTGAATGAGATCCCAAAAATGATTTCTAAAGTGCTCGTCTCTTTGAGGGGGGGGGTGAAAATAAGATATAAATTTCAATGAAAATGCCAAAACAGTTCAATGCATCAAGACAACAATCAACGATCCACCAAATTTAAAGTGTCACCAGTGCATGGCAGGAATCTTGCAAATTTGTTGCTTTCGGTGACTTTTTTTCTTTCATAACTTTGTACCTACCAACGACGATTGTCGTAAGACTGTCCTCGGCATTTTTTGAAGTCAGTCAGTCGTGAAAGCAGCCATGTATTCTCCTGAGTAATCTTTTGGCTCAAGGAAAGTTAAACATCTCTCAATCGGTAAACCGTCTTCACGTGATACATATTTGTTAATTAAATTCAACTGATCAGTCTTTGAAATGTTAAGAGTGAAATCTACGGAAAAGCTGAAATGCCCAACCATTTTCAACTCAGACACAATTACGCCCTTAATTTTCTTTGCCATGAGTTGAATAATTTCCTCGCATACAGCTTTTGATAAATACCGATTGATATGAGCCAGGAAAAATGGATCAAATTTTACTAGTTCTACAAGATCAAGATAATAATCGATATTTAGAGATCTAAATAGTTCATTGTCTCTTCTGAATGGCAAGTTTCGTTCTTCAAGATGGCAGATCACAGCAATAATTCATACCATGACATTCCGCCAGTATTTCTGTTCAGCTTTTATTTCTTCCTCTGGACATTGAAGTTAACGATTTCCCTCGGTTTCTGGTTAACATGGGTTTAGAAAAGATAGAAGTTTTGCCAATCATCAAAAACTTCATAACCTAAAGCTGTAACAGGAGATGCAACAATTGGAAATAGTTTACAAACAAATACAGCCAGCCTTTTAAGGGAAAACAGACAAGCTACTCTCGTCTGTATGTTCCTCCATTGGTTTTTGTTGAATCCAAAAAGGCTTTTGAGCAAAACCTTGACTGCTTTTGTAAACTCCCTTTAAATATGAAAACGGTCCACAAAGATGCTAAACTAGAGTGGGGTCTCTTTCTACCTAATATTTCTTTATCATGTCATAATTCGGTCCACAAACCAAGGTCTGTTACAGTAGATGTATGTTCGACATTATTTATATCTGAGTCTAGATTAAGTTGGAACTTCTTAGCCTACCTTACCAGGTGTGAGGTGAACATTCTAATTATCCGAATTATTTCGTTGTGGCTCTTTAAACTCTCTCTGTCTCGTAATTAACACCTGAATGAATTCTATATTTTAATTCCAAGCCGTCATAATTGCTGTTTACTCATAATCAGCTTCCTGTTCGACGTCCTGCTTCACTCTTTCTGGTTTTCATCCAGTCGAATACTAGTAGTTGGCTGAATAGTTCTCCAACACTGTTATTACCCGTGTATCTGCTTCATCACTTATTGTTTCTGTCAGTTGCTGGTGCAAGTAAGCAGTGATTGGTGTTAACTTCTTTACCGTATACTCTTCAAGTCTCTTACGCTTGTAACGCCAGTTTCTTATCGTTAACTCATTCTCAGAATAGAATTTGAAAGTAAAGAGTAAAGTTTTCTCCTTCTAAACCTCACTAATTTGCTGTAATACAAAATCTATAAAGAAATCAATGCTAGCATCGAGTTATCGGCTTAAGACAGAATTATTCTGAAATGGAATTTAAGGAAAATTTACTGAATGGTTATTTGGAATCTTCAATGCGTAATGACAGCATGTGCAAGAAAGGTCTACCACAGTGTCAAAAATATTATACATCTTGACTGGACCCCGCCTATATATTAAGGCCCTTGATTTCATCCCAGAAAGCATATAGGTAAATCCGGCACTATATATATATATACAATACTAATACAAGCAAAAGGTTTATAACTTAGCTGATTGATGTTATCTTCATCATCCCGGCTCCAGAGTTGATATATATTATGGAAATAAAAATGGCAAGACGTGCTTTACCATTCATGATTAAAAGGAAAAAAGGAAAAAAAATTAAAAATAAAACAGGCATTCCCTCTGTTTACAGAGGGAGGGCTGTCTGGACCTGACATAGATCGTTTCCAATACCTTTAAGTGTAACACAGAATGAGCATGACTAAGGATGGAAAATAATCAATGCTGAAATTTGTGGTACAATTTGGATTGTTTATAAGGTGCTCAGCAATGGCGGAGCCGTATGTGTTCCTGAGATTGTCACCAGATTGGAACGTACCATTCCGAATTCTCCCAGGTACGTACTGATTAATCCGTGCGTTTAACCTGCCTGTTAGGACTTGACATGATTTCCATCTGATGTTTTCACCTTTATTTTATCACGTTTCTCATGTTTTTATATTTTATATTGCAATATTTAGTCTACCCTCAATTTCAGCTCTGTAGAGCGTGGGAGAAACCGGTCGGCTGGTCTAATTTTTTTTTCCTATTTTCCTTTTAATCATGAATGGTAAAACACGTCTTGTCATTTTTATTTCCATAATATATATATATATATATATATATATATATATATATATATATGTATTGATATACCCCTCCAATTCAATGAACCATTCGGCAGCAACATCAGGAACATTTCTTTCATTTGATCCGCTTTACTAATGTTTTTCCCCTTGAGAATATTGCGTATATCTTAAAATTGTATTAGCAAAATGGTTACAATTAAAACATTTCGATTTCATACATTTTATTCGTAGTCAATTCCTGTAAAGATGTTACATATTATGAAAATGACACCATTAATTGCTTTCCTTTTAGATATTGTTTGTTTTCGATTAGTCAGAATCTGGGATCTAAATGCTGAGATGGTTTCGACTTCACCCGCAGAAACTGACTTAATCAAATCAATAACTAATAAACGCCATCAACAAAACCTTTACTGATACATATAACGAAATATCAGATTGGAAATGAATAATAAAATATGATTATTTCTTAAATTTTATTTTTTAAGCTCAGTACTCAAGCCAGTTATAAACATAGAAGAAGGAAAATATATAAGACACATGTTGCTACCAATATTGGATAATTATATATGTATTTGAATTCACAGATATAAGTAATATTTTACAGATACAAAGATCCTCATATATTTTTAAATATTTTTCAATATATCGATATAAAATTACAAACGCTAAATTATTGTAACTGTAATAAAAAATAAAAAAGTTGGCTCGCGCGTGTTTTTAAAAACCATCATTACATCTTAATGTAGATTTTTATCACAGTTACCATAAGTTTGTCTTTGTAATGTACCCCTGAAGAGGATCTTGGAAAAGATCGAAAGTAATTGGGTTTAACAAAAACAAATACGGTGCCTTCTTTGACGAATTTCATCCTAAACATCAAGAGACTAATTAGACGACGAAAGGATCAGTAAACAGACACACACACAAATATATATATATATAAATATATATATATTCGTAACAAAAAATTCAGAGCGATTTTCAAAAGTGATTTTGTTTCACCTATAAATTAAATTTATGATAGATATATGTTATGGGGTCCTCCCCTTTTTCATATAAGTGGACTCTACCAAAGTGTTACTTGGACTGCTGCCTTTAAATATCCAGAGTCAGTAAGAGAATATACGAACGGAGATAAATGGTGATTGAGTTGGAGGTAGAGTAATAGTGTGAGGTAACCTCTTGTCGAAGTCAGTTACAAGCACGTAGACTCTAAGGAAGTCCAACTTTGAGACTGTATATATCTATCTGTATTTGCTACTAACCGCGTTCCTGGATTTATTAACAGTATTACCCTTTGTATGATTGTATAAATACATTTTATTTCTTATATTTAATTATTGCGTTTGTCCTTCATTGGAAACCGAATTTCATCATCGGAATCCACAACAATATACATATTCAAACGTACGCTTTTATAATATTCATGTGAGGTGTGAATTTTAAATGTTTGTACGTTGAAAGAGAAAATAGATGAAAACGAGATGCATTTTTGAATGAAATGAGAAATATATATATAAACAGTAAAAAAAGATATGTACCGTTTATTGTGACGGTACCATAGCACATATTATTGTTCGTACGTGATTCATTAGGTACACAAGCTTTACCTATTTCATCACCTTGAGAGTTGTGAAGTTCTGGGATAAGAGTTAAGCAGTGAGTTCGTCCAAGATTGCTAGTGAAACAAAATGGCACATCATTGTTTGAATAAATCTATGTATGTATGTAGAGGGGGAGGGAAAGAAGTGAGAGAGGGTGATAGTAAAAATTATTGGACTCAAGTACGTCTAAAAATTGGACCAAATATCGGAGATCAGACCAAAAAAATATATCTTTGTGGTAAGCGCTTCTTTTTCTGTCTGAGTAAGAATATTTCAGTATTCCCTGGAACAGATAGATAGATAGATAGATAGATAGATAGATAGATAGATAGATAGATAGATAGATAGATATCAACATACGGAGATAGATAGATAGATATATAGATAATGGAAAACATATAGGTAGATAGATAGATAATGGAAAACAGATAGATAGATAGATAGATAGATAGATAGATAGAGAGAGATATCAACATACGGAGATAGATAGATAGATAGATAGATAGATAGATAGATAGATAGATAGATAGATAGATAATGGAAAACAGATAGATAGATAGATAGATAGATAGATAGAGAGATAGATATCAACATACGGAGATAGATAGATAGATAGATAGATAGATAGATAGATAGATAGATAATTTACTTTCCCAAGTTCAAACGCTACAATATATTTTATCCAGCTATTTTTCTCTCCGTGATATTGAATTTCGTCAAATCAGTTTCTTTGCTTATATATTTTGTTTTAAACATTTTGAGATTATTTCAGTCGACTTTTCATGTTAGGAATAAAATGTCTCTTTTGTATCTTTTGACAGTCCCATATAAAACAGAAACAAACAAATTGGCATTGGTTTTGTGCTATGAATAATAATTCACGCTGCTTCTCTGATTCCTGCACAACTTTTGCAATCTTACAAATTTTATGAATCAAAGCGAAAATAAAATGCAACAAATGAAAAACTTCGGACGTAAACTCTCCAGCATTTGTTTTTATAACTCGATGTATTAGCTCGGCTATTGAACATCAATCTGAAAAAAACAAATCATTGCCTTTCTTATTGGAAGAAATATTATGTAATAATTCCCCCAAGCTCAAGAAATGTGTTCGAAATAATCTCATGGGAAAGCAAAGAATTGAGCATAATTAGGTAGACATGTCCAATGCTAGAGATTTAGATTCGCGAATGTCATTTCATTTCAATAAATATTCACATAAAAAGTTATTTTCCCTCAATGATAAAAAATTTAAAATTTATATCTGATTATTAATAATCATTGTTCTATTTAACTGTTTATGAAGTCACGGAAGAAAGTGATTAAAAGAAACAGAATGTTCGAACAAGGCGTTTTACCCAAAGATAAAAGTAATTTCAGCCAACAAAAAAAAAAACACCTTTCCTATATGAAGATACTTCTTGTTCAAATTAACCATTTCCCGAATTATTTTCCTTGACTTGTATTTCATTGATCGAAGTTGCATATTTGCTTGGATTGATTGTGGTCGAACCAGTGACATGCAGAGGTTTAGTGATGCCCGGGGTCAACTCCTTGATTGTATGCCTCTAAGACATAAGCAGGGAGGCTACTCCAGTCTTGCTTATCAAAACACGGATCCACATTCACACCAGCTTGTAAAACTGTAGGGCGGTTGTACAACGAAGTTAACAAAGAAAATTTCAAAAACTAAATTTTTATTTCATTCTTTGATTGGATGCCCTCTCGATACTGTCCTGCCTTCTACTACTTGAATAAATCGTGTTGAAATAACAAACAATTTTCACTGGTTCAATCTTTTCAATTTCAAGCAGATAGCCTCAGTATGGATAAAATGGTATCCTCCTGACCAATAAAAATATACATTTATAAAATAAAGATGAAGATATATTTTATGCAGAGCTGTATTAATAACAGTATAATAATATGTATAATACTATAAATATTAGTACTAATAATAATGGGGTTTCTACATCCAAAAAGACGACGTGATTGAGGCCACTAAACCAAATATTGCCAACGTTTAAAATGTTGTTTTTTTATTGACTGTTTCTGGTGACCATAACATCAATGTCAAAAAAATTACCAGGTTTAAGAAATACAGAAATTTTTTGATTGAACTTTTCAGAAGGTGGAAAGTTCAAGCCAATTATTGTCCCAATTATCATTGAGATTTTGGGGTCTGTACCAGCCAACTTTAAGTCCTTCATGTAAAGCATCAGAGTAATGTTTATCATCCAATCACTTTGAAAGTTTGCGTAGTTTGGCTCTGCAAATATTCTACGAATTATGTTCTCTCTCTGAAGACGTTCGCCTTAATGAAGAATATAATACAATTTAGAATGAAAATGAAAGTCATCAAATCAAATAATAATAATAATAATAATAATAATAATAATAATGATAATAATAATCTTCCATTACGGTTAAATGAAAAATGTGAAACTAATTTTTTATGTAAGGCCTATGATTTCATTAGACATAAAAATGACCCCTACAACATTGAAATCAATGTTGTAGCGGTCATGTTTATGTCTAATGAAATCATAGGCCTTATATAAAAATTCACTTTCAACTTTTATCTTTCAAATCTTTTGACAAAAGTTTGTTTTAAAATGTCTATAAATTCTAGCAATTAATTTTTGCTATATGAAAATGGAGGGATTTATTATTGCGATTAAGGTACCTGGCGGTTGTGTAATGGTTAAAAATCTGGTCTGTCAAACTGGCGCGTTTTTATTGGACGCTTACTGTGAGACTCAATCAATACAAGTTTTTTTTCTGATTATCTAATGACTGTTAGCCGAAATGACTTTTCATGTGTCTTGATGTGTTTCTTATGATCTATTTTAGTGTCATATAGCTAGCCATTATCAGAACTAATCAGCCATCTTTTTTACGGTAATACAACTTTTATCCGTCATCTGTTGACCAGTTTTTATAAGAATTTCTCTTCCCAGATTCCATTATATTGTCGTCTCATCAATGCAAAGATTCTCTGTATTAATCAACAGACATAAATGGTAAATCCAACTATTGACTATTAGTATGTACTCGCTTGATGAAGATTTATTGGTCATCTTGGTAGCTCATCCAACTTCGGCGTAGATAGTATTCATTGTTGAAATCGCGTTAAGATTTCGTCCGATCGTGTGTTGCAGAAAAATGTAAGGGTAATCAATCAAGTGTGCGAATCATGTCTCAATTTTCCAAGATCGTTCACAAAAGAAAACATAATCAGTTTACCAACTTGAGTGAATCTTAGAGATTGTTGGTCAAACTTGTTACTTGTCTTATCGGGCTCCACAAAGACAGCTATAGCGTAAGATAAAGAAGTCAGTGTTGTAAATATATCATGTCTTTGTTGTAGCTTTCTTTTTTTCCCCGTTGATTTCACCTGCAAGTTTATTTCTCTAAATCAGCGCTTAATTCCAGAATTTTAATCCGTGGTAAAATATGAACCATGATTAACTCCACATTAGTTAAACATTTCAATGAATATCTTGTATTCGTTACGGTTTCACAACATTTATATTTGGCGAAATATGATTTTATTTTGACTTTAACATTATGACATTGTAATAATTCCACTGCTCGCTTTCCCATTTTATTTCTTCTTCTTCTTCTCATTATTATTATTATTATTATTATTGTTGTTGTTGTTTCCTTTGATTACTGTTGTATGTATATATTCTCCCGCGTCCCAACCAGAAACATAAGTTTCATTCCATTTTTTTACTGATAATTTTTTAAAACAAAAAACTAAGATCCCACGCATGTTACACAGATAAAGCTCTTCGTAATATGTGAGCTGTACTTGTGAGGACAATTTTTATATTTCTTTAAGTCATGGGTTACCAGGATTCCCTTCAATGTGTCTATCGGAATCTTTTTCAATCAAACCGAGGGCTTAACTGGAATTATTGATGTCCTCATTTGCTACATTTTTTAGATTTCTACATCAAGTTCCTTATATTTTGAAGATCTTCAAAGATACATTACAATCTGCAGGATCTCCAATGGCAATAAGACAGCACATTCTGTTTTTGTGGTTTTTGATCAAAAGATGTCATGTCTGGGTGATTATCTTCTATTGTTCTGTTTGTGTGTATTGTAAAGTCCCATAAATTTTTTACGGGTCATATATCTCGAACCGGTATTATTATTATTATTATTATTATTATTATTATTATTATTATTATTATTATTATTATTTTCTTTGATTTCTGGCGTTTACACATTTCTTTCCGGGTCCCGCCCAGGGACCTAAGGTTAGAAATGGTGTCATGACACTTTCCACTGACAAAAAAAAAAAAAAAAAATTACATAGATAAAGCCCTTCGTAAGGTGTGGGCTGTACTTGTCAGAACTTATTATTATTATTATTATTATTATTATTATTATTATTATTACTTCCTGATCCCCTTGTATCCTAGTGGCATTATCACGTTGAATGTGATTAAATTTTTAATATTATTATTATTATTATTAGTAGTAGTAGTAGTAGTAGTATGATACTTTTTTTTTCGTTTTTTTTTTTTTCAACTGTAAATCTTGGGTGATTTTCATCAAATCACACGGCCCCAGGCAGGTTATTCTGTGATTCGTATATAGCAGCATAACGACCGGTATGTGCATTATTATTATTATTATTATTATTATTATTATTATTATTATTATTATTCGGTCATTGGGGTTTTCCAACTGTGGCAACTGTTGTGGCTTACACTGTAGATTAAGTGACAGAATGTTACTTTAATATTCTATTGCCTTTCTTGTTGTGTTTCTAATAAACTCCTTGTCTTGATGCTACCAAATCTATTTTCCTACACGCCTGCAATCCTTCGTGATCGTTCCTGGTCCTCCATAAAGAACTGGTCCTACTGTCACCACCTTATTCCCGAGCAGCCTTATTTCTCCGACTGAATTTCAATTTATTATTGCTGTTGTTGTATCCCTTCTATAATTATGATATCGAAGAAGCAAATGTCTCGAGGAAACATAATCTTTTCAATTTATTCAGAATGGAAGCGGTTGTCCTAAAACGGCATCACATTACATTGACTTTTGACATGACCCTGTCTCCAGCTGTTAGTTCTTTATGTGAATCAATTAGCATCACGTTGAAATTGTCGACTTTCCTAAAGTTGTTGTCTGAAAAGTTTTGGTTCTTTCTGATTTACCAGTCTTTTTGCAACGATATTCGGCACCATTCCAATTGCTCTTATAATTATGGCTACCTTTGAAGAGTTCAGATATAATATAAAAGAAATGTTTTTTCGGATAGTTATACAAGTTTTCATTATTATATTCACTATTTTTCTGATATTTATTCAAGTTTTCATTTTCAATTTTGGTAGGCTTATAAGTTTAATGGAGATAAAGTGACAAAAATTCTCTAGCACTTTCCCCAGTATCGTAAGCTGCTTATTGTTAATCAGAGTGACTTTTCACACAAGTGAAAATTATTATTATTATTATTATTATTATTATTTATTATTCCTTTGAATTCCGGTGTTTCTTTCCGGGTCCATGCTAGAAACCTAAGGTCATAAATGGCATCAAAACATTTTCCACTGAGCAATTTTGAAAAAGCTCTTCATAAGATGTAGGCTCTACTTTTGAGAACAATGTTTTGTATATTTATTAGGCATGCGCAACCAAGAATCCCTTTAATTAATCTTTGGAATATTTTCTAATCGATCCGATGAAACAAAGCAGAAATGGAATTATTGATGCCCTTGTGTTTCGCAATGTTTATATTTCCACTTCATGGTCCTTGTATTTTGAAAGTTTCCTGAATAACTGCCATGTTATTAAGAAAACAAAATCTGCTCTGCGGTCTGTAATCATGATGTCTGTGCGATTAGCTTCGGTTGTTTTGTCTGTGTGTATTGTAAACTTCCATAAAATTGTTACAGGTCCTATCACTGTAACTGGTCCAGGTGGCGCTCATACCAATGACTTGCAGTTTCCTTCCCGTAAAAGTTATAGATTTTCCAGTGCCGATATTAGCCCAATCTATTTTGTTGATTTTTATATTCAGTGGGTGCCAATGGCGCGCGCAACGTGATAAAAGATGTTCAATTGTTTCTGGATATTTATCACAGAATCTGAATTTTGGTCTCACATCATTTTTCAAGTGTACTTGGTAATTTCTTTTCATCAAGCATAGATCCCGTGCAGCAAGTATAAAACCTTCCGTGTCAGCATTTACCTCTGCGCTGCGTAACCACTGATGTGTACGAGGTTTGTTTGTATCAGCTTGTACAGGTAGAGTATTGACTATGAAAAGCAATCGTTTCTGCATTTGGTACATTTGAACTTGCTTTTGAATATTTGGGGTGAGGGGTTTCTTTGTACCTGAAGTAGGTGCATTATTTTTTTACTTGCACTACTTCGCCCAGTTGGAATTCCCTTTTCCATTTGTCGCCTTCCATTATTACTGAATTTTTTAAGACAATTCTAATCTTCAGCCTCCTTCGGATCTAGGAATATACATACGATCAACATCAGTATTGTGATGTGGGGTCTGGTAAAACACAACATTTACCAGAGTCAGTTGTGATAGAAGTATTCAATACACAGGTAGACAAGTCACTGCAATAGCATTATCTTCTTCCCCCTACACAATTACCCAGGACTACTGTTCATGAATGGGTAAGAAAAGTAACTGGCTCTTACCACAATATCTTCCCTCTTGAGACTTACTTCATCTAGAAGTTATACTTCTATCTTTTGGGGGCTAAGATCCAACACTTCTGTGGATTCTCTCTTCCTTTTACTAGAGCGTCTGCTTTCCGGGGCTATCTGCTACATAGGCACATCGAAAACGCCATAAAGATCCACTATCGTCTCCTCCTGACGGATGCTCTGTTCTCCCGAGTATCTTTTTTCTTATTTGCTTTAGATGTCTTTTATGCGCTCATCTAATAAAACCTTTTATCAATTTCAATAAAATTACGATACGTCTCTCGACTACCTCATCTTCCCAGCATTCATTTTTCTTTTCGTAATTTCAAAAGAATATTTTTTACTGTTTTTGAAATATACCTGGGTACCGGCTTTTTCTTGTTTTTGAACTTTTTTATTCGGCAGCAGATTGTTAAACACAAGTGTAAATTTCCTTGCGAAAATTAATTCTGTCGGAGACATATCTAATACAGATTTAGGAATAGGTATCACCTCATATATCTAATACATATCTAATACATATCTAATACAGATTTAGGAATAGGTATCACCTCATATACACATAAAAACTGCTGTAATAACATATCCTTAGTTTCACCATCAGTTTTGTTTAAATGCGCTTTTAAATGTATTGGATTTTTCTTCTTATTCTTTTTCACGTAGAAGTTTGTGGAGACCAAATCTATATAATCCACATTGTGTAGATGGTATTCGTTTCGTCTTTTGTTGGTACGGTTTTTTAGTATATTAAGCTGTTCCTTGAATAGTGCATCGTCTTTGTTGATGGAGTGAATGTAGTGTTTTACTATTTGTATGAGAGAGTGAATGATTTTTGTGAGGTACGCTTCCAATCCGATTGTTGTAGTTTTATATTTAGTTCAATCTGGAATAGTCCTCGGCCTGCCAAAGCTCTTGGTACATACAGCCTAACAACATCTGATATCGGATGGTGCATTCTCATTTAGGTAGGCGTTTTTCTGGTCTTTTCGTCCAATCGTTTAATTCCATTCAGTTTCCATTTAATAATGTTGAAACTGAATGTTACTATGGCTATGCTATACTTTCTTTTGTTGTTCTAAATCTGTAATTTTCGTTAGTTTACCGCCTCTCTGGCTTTGACACATTTTTCAAAACCGAACTCCATCATAATGTCATAGCTGAAGGTATTTACAATTGTATTACAATTACAATTGGTTATTATACTTGACAAACGTTTTAATATCATCATTATAGAATAGGTGATTCAGTTTGCAATTCTTAGTGACGAGAAGTAGTGATAATGAATCTCCTTGGAAGATCACGCTTTTGAGGTATGGTTTAGGTTTAATGTCGTCTTCCAGTTTTTCATGCTCTCCGTTATGAATTTGACCGTTGTGGAGCATATTCTGTATATTTTTAGGTTCATCTATGAGTGTAGTACACTATTGCATGTCTTTCTGTATTCGATCCATACTATCGATAAGATTCGTTTTCTTGTTCTCACCTCTTCCAATATTGTTTTATTGATAATTAATTTGTCTTTGCACACGTAACTTCCTCTTTTAGATCCATTCTGTTATGCTGGGAATAAATTGTTTTTCTCAGGGAAGTTTATGTCCTCTCGGTTAATATTGAGGATCTTGTAGATTGTTGGTAGGCATGTGATGGGCCTATAGTTCTTTGACTTCTGTATTTCATCTGTTTTTGAGAGAAGATATGTTACTCCCTTGTGAGCCATTTTGGGCATTTTTCTGGGTTTATGATTATATCATTTATGCATGCATTTCTTTGCAAGTGTCTTGTTTTTCTTTCTTTCATTTTGGAGACCTTGTCTACTTAAAAGTGGCAATTGTCGTCGTATTTTATTTATTTTGGTTTCTATTTTTTCTTTCCAGACTTCCATTTTTCTTTTTCGTTTACGCCGTGTTTTTCCCTTTTCACCTACTTTTTCTGCAATCGTTGCCAAGACTGCATATATAAGATGCTTAATTTCTGTCAGATTCATCGGCGTTTTCGTTTCCTGCTGTATTTTTCTTTCTAATTGCTTGGTTAGCCAGGTTGATGGTTTCCTTCACTTGACGGTTCATTCCTACTTTTAGAATTGTCGCTCATGGTTCCATTTATATCGAATGTTTTTTGTCATTTCTGTTTCTCTCATATTCGTCATTATTTTCCTCTATTTGCTTGTGTACCTCAGAGCGATTATTACAACTGGTTTATCATTTAACCCCGCGATGTTAACGTTTAATCTATTTTTGATGTTTTCTCGGATGATTTCGAGTTCTATGTCAGGTATTCATTTTTTTCTGATGATGTCACGCATGGCATGAGCTAGCGTGTTGACATTGAGATTTTGTCTGTGTAAGGAGTGTTTTTGACGACAGATATTATAAGCAGCTATCAATCAATATACACTTCCCTTGACCATTTATTTATTGTTTTTTTGGGGTGATTAATGAACAGAGAGGGGCTCTGTGGAGACTGTCTTCGGCGTGGTTTTTCTCTAGTTCTCGTTGGGTAGAATATGTTCCAGTTGCAGCCTGTTCAATCTAGTTCCTCATTGAAGATCGTTATCCTTGTTGACCCGCATGACGACCGATGCGGTTTAGCAATACTTTTGTTTTGTCGACATTATAGCTAGTTAGTATTTACCCATACGTTGGCGCTGATTCTTGAGAGCCAGTGCATATCCATACCATGGTGTGGAATCACGTACAGGAGCCAGGCTTCATCCTATTATTTTTTTTCTATTGCCATTACAACAGAAAGTGGTAAAAATCTTATTTTATAAGCGTTTGAACCCCAATGAGACACGACGTGCTACACCAGACTCCGAAATAACATCAATTTTCATTGAAGTTTTCTTTGACTTTTTCTCTTTTTCTCTCTTATGCTAAATAATATGAAACAATATTCAAATCGCCCTAATAATACACGAATAGATTTTACACATAGATACAATTAATATATAGTTATTAATAATATTTAAAGAACATTAAATTTATTAGGAGTGTTTGTATTGTATGAATTATAAAATAAAAACATATATAAATTACTTGTAAATAATTAAATACATAACAAAAGAACATTAAAAAAAAACATAACCAACAAATCCATATCAGCACAATCACCACCACCACCACCACCACCATCAAAACTACCACCACCACCATCAACACTACCACCATTCATAGTGGATTCTTTCATGAAATATAAACACTTTCATTACAGTTTTTTTCTTAATTTTGTAATTGTAGAAATTAAATAATTTATGATTTATAGTGACATCGATTTAAATGAAAATCAGTTGGATATTTACGTTGCCTTATATTTACGCTGAAGTTTATATTTCAGAAAATTAAATAAAAGAAAATAAAACCAAAATATACATGAAATCACGTTGAGTATACATTCCTGAAATATAAATGAAATAAAACAAAATAAACAAAAAATTACAATAAAAATTAAAATAATATCAAAAAGGAAATAAATAATTACATATAATTCATTAATAGATAGATAGATAGATAGATAGATATCAAAAGACGGGGGATAGATAGATAGATAGATAGATAGATAGATAGATAGATACGGGGAAATTCATCAGGACAAAAAAGTAATACGCTGAAATATTTACATTTAAATCTGTCACGTTTCTACGGAGCCTCGAAAAATACGCCATATCTTTCGTCGGGTTCTTCTTCTTATTATTATTATTATTATTATTCTTTAGTTAAGACCAGGCTCGATGTTGCTTAAATGGTGTTTCAATGTGATGTAGCCGTAATCTTAAAGAAGCAAATAATAAAGCTGAAAATAAGATTATCATTTTCATTGCTCCTTGGATTTAATAACTTTTTTTATTATTATTCATAGTAGTAGTTATTGTGGCCGTAGAGACAGCAGTAGCAGCAGTAGTAGTAGTAGTAGTATAACTGTTTTTCTTTCTCACTATCCCTTAACCATCTACTTTGCTTCTTCCTTCGCGCTATACTATCTTCATTGACCTTCTCTAAAGCAATGACTTCCAGCGCGCTTCCTGCCTAACAAATGAACAACCGTTTATTTAATTACACAAATAGGTTGCCCCAAACAATACCCTAAAGATTGCCACATGTTTTCTTATGAAATCAAATTTACTTTTTCAAATGAACCAGTGTAATTTTAGTCCAAAGGTTAAGATATTCACTAGCGTTCCTATATGGATTTTCTATGTATATATATATATATATATATATATATATATATATATATATATATATATATTCATCGGTATCGGTTGCGGAGGATCGTGCAGTAGTTTACAAAATATATGCCCTCCATATTTTTACATTTCAGCAAGGATATCATCCTCGCCACGAGCTTTTCCTGGCGATATCTGCTTGATAAAAGCTTGCTCTTCCAGAAAAGTTGGTTCCAGAGTTAACTCAGGAATTTCAGGAATATTGTGTTACAGCGGACAGAGCTTCATCATCTGTGACTGAGGTGCTGTTGAGCACTGTTTCAAAATGATCTTTCCAGCGCTGAAGTATGGATTTTTTTTATCAATTAGGAGAGTATCCCCGTCATTGGCTTGAATTGGAGAGGCATCGTGATTTTGGGGACAATACACTGCTTTTAAACCATCATAAAAAGCTTTTGAGTCCTTTTTGTCAGTAGCCATTTGGAGTTGAGCAGCCTTGACTGACCACCAACTCTCTTACATTTGTCTGAGGGCATGTTATACTCTTTCTTTACACCCTTTGTAGTTGGATTGTTTTGACTGGCAGTTTTTGTCATTACCCAGATCTTAAGATACTTATGCATTTCATCAATCAGTTTTTGGACTTCTGTATCATTTTCATTAAAACCATCTTGATGTTTGCGCAGTGAAAGTCCGAGAACTTCCAGAGAGGCAGCATGTGTCACTTCGCGCAATACCTTCGATGATGTTTTAACGTCAGCAGTGATAATAACTGTCCGGGGAGCAGTGTCCAGTTTATCCGAAAGATCGGCTTGTACTTGATGTACGGATGACTTTTGTAACCGTCTATGTTTAGGACGAAACATGATTTTGTTGCGAAGCAGGACGTGGTCAGAGAGTTAACAGAGGGCATGAACAGAGCATGTGAGAGTAATCGCAGACCATTAGAATTCATTTACCCAAAACTGTGACAACCAATGACACCTTTCCATGTTGATGGTCAGAACCAACACGGGCGTTGAAGTTCCCCAAGAGAACTAATTTATCCCTATGTTCACAGGTAGATATCACATTACGAATGAAGGATCACTTTACTTGCTCAGTACTGTTCATGGTTAGAGCATAACAACTGACTAACAAGGCAGTAGTTTTGTGATCAAGGTCGATTATTCTGTCAGAAACAGCCTTAGGCCGAAAAGGTAATAATCCCGCAATCTTTGATTTGATAGCAAAACGTACACCCGATTGTCGCGACTCGTCTTCATCATTCCCAGACCAGACCAGAAAAAGGTGTACCCTCCTTTTCTCTCTACCAGTTGTGATACACCAGGAAGACGAGTTTTACTCAGTACAGCTATATCAATGTTGTACTTCTTTAACTCCATTGCGAGCAGAGCTCTCTTTCTTTCTGGTGTTGAGTTATTGTCCTGAAGAGCTCGTACATTTCAAGACCCAAGATGGAGTTGACGTTGTTTCGTAGAGTTTCTCGAAGAAGCTGGATGACGACTTGGCTCACGCTGCGGTGACGTGGGGCACTGCTGGGCCAGATCCCTTCACTTAATGTTCCAGAGCCCTTATTGCCATTTGTCTGTGTTATATCAGTTATTTTAATTGAATTTTATATGCCTTTTAGGGCGGCGGCCAGCCATTGTTATTGTTGAATTGTGAGGAACTATTTAGATGTAATTGTCAGAAAACCAACACAATGATGTGTTGAAAGTGGTGGAGGCTTGTGTGGGACCATCCACACTTTTGGATCTGTCGATCTGTGTTATTATCGCTGAGTTTAACCTCTCCGGATCACATTCAGTACCAGCCAGTACACGCCTCTCGGCAGACATATGCAATATAATGACCGGCTTAATCTTTCATGAGTTTTCAATTCCATCTGAAGTCTTTTTATCATGAAAACAACATTAAAAGAATTGCAAACCAAAGCTCAGAGAAACTCTTTTCACCCTCATCAAGGGCAGCTAGCCCCAGCCACTGCTCAACCTGATACTTTACATAGCTAGATGAAGCACCGGAATATACCAATAAACCATTCTGACCAATTTGACAAGACATATAGATAAAGAAATATGTAAGATTTTACTGGTTAGAAATCACAGAATAATTTTGCTGGACGTAAAGCAGAAATAATGGAATGTATATGGAAAATAAATTTTCACTTTTCGTAATGAAAATGCTAAGAGAAGCAATATCAGTACAGAAAGCTCTCTCTCTATATATATATGTTTCATAGTTTTCCCAAAGACATTAGACAAACTATAACACAAAGACATCTTTCAAATTCTCGGAAAACTCGATTCACACGGAAGATATAATTAAACAATCAGTAACAAATACTGGGTAACAAACAGCTTTTCTGAAGCTGGAGATTAAGAAAATACACAAAATTATAAATAAGGAGTCCATCATGTATGCTTTTTCTCACCGTATTAATTTAAAGGTGAATCATAGAAGATTAGAGAAGAATTAGAATGTCTAACAAGATTTATTATCAGCAGGCATAACTTTAGACACTTTGCAGAAGAAAATGTTAAAGGCGGATTTAGAAATTATTTTCTCCATGAAAGAAGAATTAACAAGATCATTGAAGAAAGAAAAAAAGAACGTCTATCCATTAACTGTAATAAGGGAGAATGTATGATTGTCAGCAAAAATGGGAAATTTAAAATGAGAGTTATGTTATGTTTAATATAGAGAGAAAAATATGGCAAAGTAATCCGAGAGCACTGATGTGGGGCCAAAGTCGGGACCACAGAAGGAAAACACGGAACACGGATTAGATGTAAGAAAGATATATTAACAACAGGTTACATAGATAGGGTAAGCGGAGCTTACTATGTGTTAGTGTCCAATACTGGTAGTCGTAGTGTCTCTCTGTGTCACTATCTGTCTCTCTGTAGAGTACTATGTCGCCTACTTAATATAGGCCTGGAAGAGTCTATTGTGTAGTTTCCGGTCTCACAATAAGCAAATAGCAATACCGTAAGTTGTCTTTTAGAAAATGATCAAGTTTTAAAGGTATCAGAAAATGTCCTTAGAAGCAAATAAGTGTTTGCTAAATTGCTAAGTAATGTCTAATATGCGATGGAATATACTAGACAATTTCCTGATAGTTAAGGTGAAGATTTGGAACAAAAGAGATGCGATTCAACAAACGATTTTAGGAAGTATTTATTGATGCATAATAACGATGTTTTGGGGAGTTTAAAACTTGCAGGTTAGACTGATGCCAAGAGAAACAGAAGGAATATCCGCATAATCTAATTGGCGAGTTTCGATGGCAGAACATGAACAATTGGAAAAAAAAGGCTCGTAAAGAAGCATGAATTTCGTAGACCAACAAAAAATGAACATTGAGGTCAGTGAAGATCTTTCAGTTCTTAAAAGAGTTAAAGTAGAGAAAGATTTTATTGAATCTTATATTCTTAAGATTTCAAAGAAGATATTGAAACTAATATTTATGCACGTGAAATACCCATAAATCTTCATTATGAAAAGTATCGAAAAAATATAAAAAAAAGATTTCTTCAGTGCTAGAAAAGTATAAGACATTGATTTATATCGCTGGAAATTTTAAATCTATATAAATCATTGCTCAAAAGAGAAAACTGGAGCAAGATATTGACAACGGAATGAAAAATTTCTAATCTAACTAAAAATGTGTGTTGGGCAGAGATTAAATATCTATATACTAACGGTAATCTCATCGTCTACCGGATTATTGGTTATCTAGCAGTCAACAGATAACACTATTTCCCGGTATATATTTGTCCTGGAAATATATATGCAGTAACACTCTAAAAATCACATTATCTCTTGACAAACATGATGACAAGCATTGTTTTGTGCTTTCATTGTGTGTGCCGAGTCCCTTCAGGACGATCATGGCTCTCCATATCATCCTATTTTTCGTAAATCTAATAATAACCCTCTGAAACCATGTTCTGCAATCTAAATAAAACAATTCGTTCACTAGCTGTTTCCCTTAACCCTTACTCTCTCCAGTACGTCGTGGGAGTTTCAAATTATCTAAACTTACATTTCTCATATATTGCAGAAATTCTGACTGCCTTCTTTTTAATCCCAAAGACATGCGTTCTTTTCGTTCCCATTTCTTTAAAATATTTTTGTTACCAATGTTTTATACACGGTATTATATGCATCCTTCATAACTATATGATTATTTCCTCAAGTTTTCTCTTCATCTGTGTAGAAATATTCCAACATTCACTGCCATAGAGGAGTATTGATGGCTGCACTGTTTTCTTTTCTTTGTTTCCAAGTAAAATGCGCTGTAGTTAATACTGTTTTTGGTCTTTCGACGACATCTTTTCTTATTTGCTTGCACCATTTCCATCGGTTATACCACATCCCAGATTTTTATATTTCTCTACTTGCAAGATTTTTATTTTCGAATTCACAGCTCGCATCTTTGGTTCCCTCTTTTGCTAACGACTATAATTAATAGTATTTTAACCCCGCATCCCTTGCCTTCTAGTTATAATCGTTTCCAACTGCAATTCCAATTTACAGCTGGCTTTTCAATTGTAAAATGGACAGCAGCCATTCTGCTCTATTGTTTAATTCTTCTAGATATATATCCGGCACTCATCCATTTTGTCTTTTAGTGATTTTTGTGGTATCTTAGTTCATTTCTTGATCCAATTTGATCTTTTTCTAGCCGTTCTATTCACCTTCGCCTTCACATTGCACTTTCTTTTTTTAACCTTGCTTTCAAGCAATTTTCTCTCATTGTTTGAAATCCGTGCGTCATTTCTAGAATTATGCAACAATCATAAAACAGTTTAGATTTTGAGCATATTGTCTACGTGATTCCATTTCCGACTCTATTCTTATTAAATCAACCAAGGTTTATAGTTCTGCATTAATAACTTGCATTAAAATCGTGTAAGAATAAGTTTTCTCCCTGTCTCTAAATTTACTGATGATGTTGAAAAATCGTTAAATTCCCTCATCCCTACTTTTGGAGGTTGGGGAATAGAGGTTGCATGATCTAATTATTATCCTGTATATTCTGTTTGATATATTGTCAAATCTTACTGCATTACCTGCATTGTGAGTATTGATTAAAAGTATTACACCATGGAGAAATGTGTTGCTATTATAATCATGCAATCTCCTAAGCTCAAAAATGCCCTAATATTACTTACAGCGCGTTATAATATTCACTATTTCAATTGGATTTCTAGGAAGTATATTCAGCCAAGACAATCAATAAAAGTTTTCAATTTAATACAAATACAGAAAATGGCCCTCCACCAAAATATGTCATAAGCTACCACAAACGAATATTGAAATGCTCTCAACTCCACCACCAGAATAGCATACAGAACACTGTAAATAGTCTGGTATAACTCAAAATGAAACGTTCAAATAAATTAGTATCGTCTTCCCCTTCGTTCTTTTCTTGCATAGCCAGACTAATCTTGTTGCAGTTGGTGCCTTTACAATCAGTGCATACTATTATGCACATGAAACCATGTTTCGGCAAGAATAGATGGTTGTGCTGAAAGGAATCTTCCACAAAATCTTGAACTTACAACACACAAACTTCATTAGTTCCTTGCTAAAAACTAGAGATAAGATACCGCAGCTTCAAGGAAAAAGTTGGCAATAACATAAAATATTCCAAATCAATACTTGAAGATGCACACGGAGACTGTAGAACAAGGCTGAGCATTTCGTTGAAGGCAGTCTTTCAGGCTGTAACGTCTTCGTCGATGTAGCGACAGACTTAGTATACTTGATGTACCTGAGAGAATCCAATGTATCGTCTGGTTTTTCTCCATACATCTTGACAAAAATGGGCAACAAAACAGATACAAGTTGAGCTGGAGAAGTAGTTGTATACAGCTTAAGTAGAGTAACAGGACTGGATCTCCTTTGCCTTATGAATAAGCTTGATTATCTCCCATTTCCCACTCCCAAATACAGCTGACGTTGAATCATATCCATCTCATGCGTAGGTGAATGTCAAATTTTGCAGAACGTAAGAGTTTGTGATATTACGGATGTTGAGCAACTTCTCCATCTTTCCCCAAGAATACTTTCTCTCGGAAAGCATATAGATGTCAGCCATGTCAAGGTAAAAGTGAAAAAGTAGAAGAACAAGTACGTCTGTGATGTCAGCTATTACAGCTGCTAAATTTCCTTTAGCAGCTAATTTGAGCGTTTCAGAAACAATGTCCATGCCTGCGTTTCCCTCAAGCTGAACCACCCGATGACCATCTGCTTCCAAATAACGACGTAACATCTTGACATCTTAATTATTATTGTTTTAAAGGAGGAGCTCCTGACGAACATAAACTTGCAATCCATCTTCCATCTGTATGTTAGCAGAAAAAATCCTACGTATTCTTCGTTTTTGCTCATGTTCTTTTATGGACAGGCCTGAATTGTAACTATCAAAAATTATGCTTCATTGCTCGTACTTGGCCATCTTGTCGTCCGACCTCGTCGTTTTTATTCACCCTAAGCAGTCACTTCACTCTCCTATCTAAAACAAATATCGTGTCAGTTTGTAGCTGACATGCAGGTACGTCAGCAAGGCTTTGTTTGTCTTGGAAATTTGGAAATTATTGAAAACTGAAGTTGCAAATGGAATTGGTTCGAACTTTAAAAACGGAGTCATATCTTACAGCAGAACAACCATTCTTGAAAACAGAGCATTAGCGCCAGCATGAATGTTTTGACCGTCAATCTTTACACATTTCTTCAGCACAACAAACGTACGCATTGAGTACTTCTTTTCAATGAGCTCTTTAAAATGTTCACATTGTCAAGCTTCTGGATAGAATGAGCAATCTCTTCAACGCGATCACTTTTGATTCCAGCACCATCGGGCGCTGTCTATAAAGAGGATACTGAACGTCGTAGTTCTAAATGGCTTAGGTCAAAAGAAGGGCTGTGCTAAGAGATCTAACTGAAGATTCCGGGTCATATCAACAAGATTTCTCTTCTGACGTCCGCTCGTCAGCTCTACGTTCTGCTCGCTTGGTTCAGTTAACTTGAACTTTTCACATTCCCTCTATACGATATTAGCAGAAGTAGTAGAAACTCCATATTCATTTCATTACAAGATTCAAGCATTGCCAGCGTGTATTGAAGAATGAACTTCGTTCACTGAAAATTCTACTGAAAAACATAATAATTTCTTCAAACGAAAATTCTCTCATACTTTTTTTTTATTTGGCAGAATGTAATTCACATATTTTTTCTATTCCGTGGGTCCCAACTTTCTTAGTAATAGGCTCACTTTTTTCTCGTCCGACCAGCTTAAACAGATTTTCTCATATTGTTTGTAGTATGCTACGTTCTTTGGGCAAAACAAGTCAATGTTTTCATTGTATCATAAACAATGACGCTGGTATGTATGCTATACAACCACATAAATCTCACTGATTCCGTAAGCCCCAGTCCAGAAGTTGCTCCACCTCAGGTCTTGATGGATCTTATCATCATTTATTCAATAATCAGGACAGATAACAAGCCGGCACACTAACGGTAACGTATACCTTTTTAAAAATTCTTCCAAATTTTTTGTGGTTGCTGGGTGTAGATGTATAAGAAATACGAACAAGTTATGTTAAAAAAGTGGTTCCTTTGAATACGTTTTTTATGTTTTTTCATGTTCTGTGAATTCTTTTATATAATTACAGCAATTAAATGTATCGAAATGGTCAGTATAACATAATCGAAAATTCTAACTTAAATTTCCAGTATGTTTACTGTTGTCACTTATTGAAACGGATTTTTTAAGGATTTCACACCAAGCAAGACGGTTTCCCACTAGCACGCAAGGACTTACAGAGAATGGGAACGAGAGTGAAGAAGCGTGATAGAGGAAAGGAGAAGGAGGAGGACAGGGAATAATAGATCAGTTGGAGATTATAGCTATCAGGGAAACAAGTAATAGGAGGGGAATTCCACAGGCGGAAAGTGCGAGACATGAAGCTATTGGAGTAGAAGAGACGGCTACATTTAACTCTTTCGACAGTGAAAGTGTAGGACGAGATGCCAGCCCAGTTACTCGTTTAAATTCATTCAGTCTTGGAACTAGCGAAAGTAGATCGTCAGAGGAGTTCTAGAGAGTATTTGTAGAAAAGACAGAGGGAGTCGACGGCATATCCGTCTCTGGATTTTATCGAAGACCTTAAGACTAATAGCCGGGGCTCGAAACCATATATGGCAGAAGTATTCCATGCAAGGGCGAATGGTTGATTTATAGATTTGAAGGATGAACTCGAGCGAGAAAAAACTTTCTGGCGTGTCACAGGGAATCAACTTTCCTTGCAGTCGATAAAGCAATTGATTCAATGTATTTGTTCCATCTCAGATCAGCAGACAGTGTGAGACCAAACAGTCGCAAAGAGGTGCTCTCGTTGAGCATCAGAGATTCTAATAGGGGACAGGGATGGTTTCCTGTGGTGAGTAATAGAAATCAGTTTTGTTTTAGACGCATTAAAGTTAAGCAGCCAATTCCTGTCCCGGTCCACAAACGATCGGATGTCTTTTAGGGGAGACTAACGTCCGGGTTAGTTTTGTCAGCGATACCAGATTTGCTATTCAGGCAAGAGTAAATAGTGGTGTCGTCTGCATAGATGCCTACTTGGAAAAAGCGTTAATGAAGTTAAAGGTAGGGCCCAGGATAGAGCTTTGGGGGACACCTGCGTTCGTGGGGTTGTGCAATGAGTTGTAATACATTTATGTTCTTTTGGTATTTCTCATCATCTTGTTCTTTTCCAATTTTAATCACATCTTTAAAACTTAAATGAAATATCTTTACAGCTTATGTCTTTCAATAAGTACACATTTCAACTTATATTACGTCTTTCTTCTATCATTTTATTTTAAATGTCCATCTTCAAAACTCGAGAGTAAAAGCTCTTCCGACGCCTTCCTGGTTTCTTCATGATCTCTAAGCATCATTCGTACTTGATGATTACTTTTTGTCTTTTTCTATTGTTTCTTCCACTTAAATCTATCTCTATACAGATTCTAATATTACTATGAAGAAAAACAAACGTGAGAATATTTATCATCAAATTTATGAGAATGCTGATAAGGAGCAAACGTATTTTTTCAGAATTACTTTCCTCCTTTATTAAGTATTTCATATTCTTATCTTGGGCTTGCGAGAAAGGAATTAAATAACACAAGAGTGTTGATGGAAGCAAGAGTGAGAATCTTTGCACATTAACTCCTTTTTCAGCTTAATTAATGAAATGCGATAAGCAGACACGGATATTGATTCCGTTGAACGAGCTTCAAAATATATAGGAAAACTAAAAAAAAAATATTGGAAGTGACAAAAATATTGATTCCCTCTCTCATAAAGCTCACAAGAGAGTAACATTATAATGTAGTTAATGAAGATATTTTCCGCCAATAATAAAGGTTGGGTGTTTATCAAATCTTTTGTTATGTATAAATGGCAAAAATAAAATATGTTAAGAAAAGCAGGAAAACAAATGCCTAAGTGTTAGATTTGTTTCGACTAAATCCTGGTTGCAGAATAGATTTTTTCTTGAATTAAAAAAATGTGTAAAAATAATTAGGCTAGTCTTACTGTAAAGAATCGATCTACAATACGACTTTATTTGTATGATTGAAGTTTCCACTAAAATATTAACTTTTCCAGTCATGACCACCACTTTACTAGTGGTAGAGAAAAATGGCGTAATGTCCAGCCACCGGGTGAATAGTGGTAGAGAAAAATGGTGTAATGTTCAGCCATCGGGTGAATAGTGGTAGAGAAAAATGGTGTAATGTTCAGCCAGCGGTTGAACAGTGGTAGAGAAAAATGACTTAATACCGAGCCACCGGTTGAATAGTGGTAGAGAAAAATGACGTAATGCCCATCCACTGGTTCAATGGTGGGTAAATACTTTGTCAGATTTATGTTTGTTCCCATTAACAAGGACAACTCCGGACGTTTTACGCTACAGAACGACAAATGTATATATTTGTGACATTTCACTTCCTCAAAGTCATTCAATGAGACAATTGTATATATTTGTGCCATTTCACTTTAGCAAATTCATTCAAAGTAATAATTGTACATATTTGTGCCATTTCACTTCCACAAAGTCATTCAAAGAGACAATTGTATATATCTGTGTCATTTCACTTTAGCAAAGTCATTTAAAGTTACAATTGTACATATTTGTGCCATTTCACTTCCTTAAAGTCATTCAAAGTGACAATTGTATATATTTGTGCCATTTCACTTCCTTAAAATCATTCAAATTGACAATTGTACATATTTGTGCCATTTCACTTCCTCAAAGCCATTCAAAGAGACAATTGTATATGTTTGTGCCATTTTACGTTAGCAAAGTCATTTAAAGTAACAATTGTACATATTCGTGCCATTTCACTTTAGCAAAGACATTCAAAGAAACAATTGTATATATATGTCCCATTTCACTTTAGCAAAGTCATTCAAAGTGACAATTGTACATATTTGTGCCATTTCACTTTAGCAGAGTCCTTCAAAGTGACAATTGTACATATTTGTGACATTTCACTTTAGCAAAGTCATTGAAAGTGACAATTGTACATATTTGTGACATTTTGCTTTCTCAAAATCATTCAAAGTGACAATTGTACATATTTGTGCCATTTCACTTTCTCCTAGTTATTCAAAGTGACAATTGTACATATTTGTACCATTTCACTTTAGCAAAGTCATTCAAAGAGACAATTGTATATATGTGTGCCATTCCACTTTAGCAAAGTCATTGAAAGTGACAATTGTACATATTTGTGCCATTTCACTTTAGCAAAATCATTCAAAGTTACAATTGTACATATTTGTGTCATTTCACTTTAGCAAACTCATTCAAAATGACAATTGTACATATTTGTGCCTATTTACTTCAGCAAAGTTAACCGATCGTATTTCCAGAATAAATGTGATTTCTAATTGGAGGGCAACATTTATGAAGAATACGCTTCCTCTGGTTTCTAAATCTGCCATCTTTTTAAACCTCCGAAAAATTCTGAGGTCTCATTAATGAAAAATGAGGACTCTTTCAATAAATCTAATTTATAATCTTAATTAGATATACTCTTAAACAGAACAGTGGAAGAGCAAGCACCCAGCTAACGTATACAAAAGATAAGTAACTTTTCACTGCACATTAATGGCATCTTTGATATGTTGAACGAATTGTGTGAAAGCTTCTCTAATATCGTCCAGTTGTGTCGATATCAATCAATCCTGAAAGTTAGCAACATTCCTTTAAAATA